AATCAAACTAAATAGGGCTAGTCTTATATAGCTTGCTATGGGAACCCCCCATTTCCACTTTCAGAGGGTTGATTTATAGGTGGGCTTCCGTAGCTGCCTGGCATTGATGTTGGTTCTGGGGATCTGAACTCTGCTCCTCAGACTTGCATGGCACTTGTTATGCTCTTTAGCCACTGAGCTATCTCTCCAGCCCTTTAAACGTTTACTGATGTTAACACATAATGAGCTGACTACTGCTACTTATTACGTTTTCACTATCAACTTCCTTCTTTTTTTGGGACATGTAACTCAGATTGGCCTTGAACCTGCTCAATAGCCTAGAACTCTTGATCTTCATGGGTCTGTCTCTTGACTGCTGGTTACACAGGCGGGTACCACCATGTTTGACTCCAGTTTCAACTTTGAATACAACAAATATCACAGACAGGAACTCAGAAAAACAAAAAAAAAGGAAAACAAAACAAACCCTGATGTTCCTCCAGAGTTGTGAGACCCGAAGGGGAGGAAACCAGATGACTCTGTGTCGCCAAATCAGTTCCCCAGAGCCAAATTAAACAGTGTTTTGTCTTCATTTTTGACTCCTGTGTTGTTTTGAAAACTGTTAAACTAGCATGTGTTTTAATATGTAATTCTAAAACGGTTTCAGGATGGACAATCTGCACTAGCTCCACATTTCTGCTTGGTCCCTAGAGCTGTGTAGTGGCTGCCCCCTTCTGGACACACGCTTTCCCATTGCCCTCCATTCTTACCCTGTGCTCTTCGGGTCAAGCATTACTCATGGGGATTGCTCAGCTCCTGGAAGCATCCACAAATGTATCTGATCTATACTGTATCCTTAGTGGGTAAATGGTTGGAAGAGCTGGTAGTATCCTGAGGATCTATTGCCCCCTCTCACAGGGTGGGATTCCTATAGGGGGAAGATGACATCCTCAGATTAGAGAGGTATTTCCAAATTTTCGGCAACGGTCTGTTTTCTTAAAACAACAACAACAAAAACAAAAACAAAAACAAAACAAAAAACCTCTGTGTGTCTGACATGTGCACATGCATGTATGTATGTTCATATCTGCGAATGCAGGTGTGTGCACAGTGTTGGAAGGCAACTTTGGGTGTCAATCTTCACTGTCCACTCTGAGACAAAGTCTTCTGTTGTTTGTTGATGTGCACAGCATGGTAGCCAGCCTGTGAGCGACCAGGATTCTCCCATCTCTGCCTCTGATCTCACAGCAGAAGTGTGGCGATTACAGATACAAACTGCCAAGTCTGACTTTAGGTAGGTTCTGTGGATTTAAACTCAGGCCCTTGCTCAGGTGGCAAGCACTTTTCTCACTTTGTTTGCAGATTTCCTAATCTGCTATTAATGTAGCCATGAATGAGTACAGTGCCAAGTGGGCAGAGATGGGGGCTTGGGTTCCAGGTTTAGAGTATCCATTGTTCAAATTCTGGCTTTGCTAAGGACAGCCAATGACATTTCCTGTCTGGTGACAGCATCCTTCTGTTTTAAGCTAAGTTTTCCAAAACCTTGTTTCCCTGACTTCTTGCTCATTCTTCCTTTGACTGTTTGATTTCACTAAAGTTTTTCAGCAATGCACTGTGCCCGTCAGCCACAGAAACATGCTTTGGGACACGCTCTACTGGAAACCGAGTGGGCACCAAATGCAGAGGGGTCTGTGCTGCCTCAGCCCTGCTGACAGCACACTTCCTTGCTGGGTTTCTTCCTTTGACTCTGTTTGTGTATTTCACACCATCACTGGAAATCCTTTATTTCCACCTTTGCCTTAAAGCCAAAGTTTCCTTTCCGGGTGGCCAGAAACATGGTGCCTGGCAGCAGCCAGCTCATTTCAGTTAAAAAGGGGTGGGGCTTTAATTACCATCAGCTTGCTTATCTGACAAGGGCAGAGTCCAGGGGTGAGATTCACCTATGCCAAACAAATTATTAAGGTATATCAAGCATTGAATGTGTGCCCTGTCTGTTCTGGCTGTACACATGTTGCCAATGCCAACATCTTTTGGGGTCATGTGATGACTTAGATGTGCATGCCCTCTTTCTCCCATCCCCAAGTACATAAATGCGTGTGTAAAATATGTGTAAATTTAACCTATATCATATACACATATATGTATATTCCTTTGCTTCTTTTTGCCTGATAACACTCATCATAAAAAAGGACACTGCGTTCAAAAATTCAAGGTTTAAGAAGAGAGTCAGGGGGACATCACTGGAGAGGTTTTATATCTGATTTTGGACCACTTTCATGAAAGATAACAGCTCTGTACTCTCATTCCAGCAGATGATATTTAGCCAAATTGTCACCAGGGCCTGAAGAGATGACTCTGTCCCACCTAGTTTCAGTAGAGGGTCCGCTTGTGAGTTTTCCATTTAGAAGATATATCCTTAAAAACCTGTATTGGGAGATGGGTGGCAGGAATGGATAAAATACATTTTCCAGTCTTCATAGAGAGCCTGATACTACCTGTCTCAGGATATTGGAGAGATTGAATGAGATTATACGTGACAAGGACATAGAACAGTGTCTACTACAGTTGCTTCTTATTGCAGACAGGGTGTTTGTGCCCTTCTGTGCCCACTATGATGCTATTAGCAAAGACTTTGAGAGGGGGCTGGGTAATGAGGATGGGGTTCTTGTGTTGCAATTAGTGTCCTTGTAAGAATAGACCAGAGAATTCTTTGTTCTGTATCACAGAGGGTAAAGCTAGATGATATCTAACTGTGAATTAGAAAGAGCGGGTCCAAATGTCTGGCATCCTGATACGACTCCCTAGACTACAAAACCATGAGAAAAAAATCTGCTATTTAAGCTGCTGTGTTTATGGTATCTTGTTATAGCAACCCAAGATATCCTTAAATGCTTGTTAGGCAATATTTTTATTATTTTTTGGAGCTGAACTTGAGTCTGGCTATGAAAAGGGAAGGAAACTACCTACAAGTTTTGCCAGGCAAATTAGGCTCTGTCCTTACCAACTCAGAATTCCATGGAGTCTGCATCGAGTGAAAACATCCCCACAGATATTGCAGCATGGCATGGTACAGAGTATCACGGTGCTCATGGACATGGCGTTCACAAACGTTCAACCTTACCTATTCAGTCTACTGCAGGGCAGAGACCTATCAGAGGCCACAGTGACAAAGCTATTTGTTTATTCACTTATTTTATTGTTCACCTCTGCAAGGATAAAACATCTACTGAGTGCTTCCCACGTGCCAGCTCCATAGACGTGGCATTCATACACTGGTTTGGGGTTAGAAATGGTATTTCTGTAATACAGAACTTAACTATTTCAATTTAGAATCTTATAATGGAAGCGCCAGGCTTCCTCTGAAGTGCCCTCAAGCACTTGAAATACACACCTCACTGGCAGGTGACTTTGAAAAGACGAACAAGACCACAACTCTTAGAAAAAAATTCTGTAAGTACCCAATTTATTCAGAAAACAATACAATTTAAACATTTATGACTTTTTTCAGTCTTACATTTTTTAAACCATCATTCCCAAAATGTTATGCATTTGGTTGACATGTATTTGCAAGATTAGGATCTATAATCATAACTCTGGAAATTGTACAAGACATTTGATTTGTTTAATTATTACTGTCCCCTCCCCCACCCCTCCCCCCAAAACCTACCCCAACAACACATTTCTTTTGCTTTGGGTACACGTCACCATTTTTCTGACCAAAACTAAGTTTCACTTTGTACCTTTTGTAGCTTATAAAACATTTGTTCATTTCTCTGAGAGAAGATCATAAAGCAAAAATAAGTCATTGTTTTGGTTCAAGACTACCTTAGACTTGGACAAAACACCCCTACCCTACAGTCATTTCTGCTTGTGGAGGTTGCACTCAGGAGTGGTAAACAAGGCCAAAGATGCCCCTACAGTGAGCTCAAAGATCGAGTGAGTCAAGCGGAAACCTGGGGAGCCATGTTGCTATTTGGCATGGACAAGATTCCATTCAAGATCCAAGGAATTAATTTCTAGGAACTGGAACCATCCACGCAGGGAGCCATGGGGCCTCTTTTCGTCAAACAGGAGCAAGCCAGAGGGTGCGCTCCTCAGTCTGGGTGGAGGGAGAGGTGTGACTATAAAGCAGTGAGACTGACTGACGTGAGGTGTGCAGCTTCTGGAGTCAGGCTCATCGCTTTCTAGTCTCACCTCCGAGATGGGCCCGCCCTCTATGCTACTAGCAGGGAAGAGGTGCCATTGGCAAGCAGGCTAGGAGCTGCCCTGTTTGAGATGATCTCTACTGTGAAACCCTCAAGTTCAGAACCTCACTGGTCCTCAGGAAGTGAAAGGAATGTATTAGCATCACAGAGGACCTGGTGAGACATGCAGAACCTTGGGCCCTGCATTAAAAAGCTCCATTAGAACAAGGTTCTGGGGGAATTTCGTGTATATGGTAGTATGTAAACATGGGTACTGGGCTAAATGGCCCAGATCCACTTCAAAAAGACTACCTCTAGGTAAGTAAATTTATTTAGTAAAGAGGCCATTCTCAGCAGGAAGGGATTATAGATAACAACTGCAAAAACAGTGTAAGGTTATTTTTTTTATTATTTTTAAACATGCAAAATACAGTCCATGCATCTGCCATTTGGAAAAGTCTCTCTTCCTATAGGAGATTAAGCCAAATCCTTTTTGGCTATCAACATTCGAGAAATGTTTCAAAATGCTTTACAGTGTAAAGATAATAAGAAATTTAGCAAAATTTCAACAAACCGGTATAAAAATGAATACATATACCATTTTATTTCAAGGCGACATGCTGTAAAGAGTATGTTATGACTGTATTTCATTGTAAAAAGTCTTTAACAATACAGATCAGGCCTTGGGGTTACACATGCAAAAAAAAAAATCAGTTAAAAATCACCTAAACGTGCTATCTTTAAATGTATATTGTCATTATTTTTTTTTTTAAGTACAGGAATAGAAGTAGTAAATCTTAGTGAACAGTGCTTCAGAACTCTGCAAAAATGAGGAGTTCATGGTGCCAGTGTCCTGGAAGACTCATACACTTCCGATGAACACTTTGGTTTAATTCCTTTACCATTGTAATAGTCCACGACTTGATTTGGGACTTCAGCCAACACACTCTTTGCAAGGGCAGCTGGCGATGCCTGCGGGGAAGAAGAAAGGACCATGACTTAAAGCAGATGCAGACTCTGACTCCCATATCTGAGCCCTGCTCTTAGCAGCTAGTCCCACTCACTCAGTCACCCAGCCATCCGTCCACTCAGTGTCCTTGTTCTGTGTCTGCAAATGTAAAGTCACATCTGAAGATGAATTTTCCTGTAGGTTTTTGTTTCCTTTAAATTGTCATTTGGTTTTAAACATGCCAGGAGCAGTGGAACTATGGAAAATGTAGGAATCATGTGTGGGGACTAGGCATGGCCACACTGAACGCTTCTTCTGAGGTAACATGCTGTCAGTGCTACCCACTAGGGATAGACACCGCACTACACCGATGCTGCCTGTCCGAATAACTGCTTAGAATAAAGCTGGAGCTCCTGAATGGGGACCTGCATTTTCACACAATGCCCTGGTGATTCCTACTGAAATCTGAGGTGTCCTGTTATAGAAAGTCACAAACACCGTGAAACAAAGTTATCTTAGAAGCACACCTCCAAGACATCTTAGCTCTGGCAGCACATCTCCAAGAGGAAACAATATTTAACTTGGGCATATATTTAACATTCAGGGAAGGGAGAGGGGCGTGGCATTCAATGATTCTAGAGACAGCAAGGCATCTGATGGAGTTGAAGAAAGAGTTCATGCTCATTGTGTGTGTGTGTGTGTGTGTGTGTGTGTGTGTGTGTGTTGTGCATAGATGGTGGTGGGAGCCTGGTGTCGGGATCTTGAAAGCCCCAGTACTATAGTACTGGATGCAGCAGAGAATTGTTGATGTCAAGAGCATGGCTGGACCCTGGAGTCATAGAGACCTTGATGTGACTCCTGGGTTTGATCTTGAGTACTGAGTGCATAAGCCTTAGGCAAGCAGTTTCAATAGTCTTAGCCTCAATAATTGCTATCAAAAGAATTGGATGGTTGATCAGTTAACAAATACTTGAGATTCCCAAGGAAGGAGAGCTGCCCTGAGGACCATGGGACCATGTTTCTAATCTCTTTCTCAAACCACTCAACACTAAGCCCCAATTTCAGAAGCAAAATAAGGAGACAGAAGCCACTCTGTCTAACAGAATGTGAAAATAATTAAGACATCTGAAAAATCCAGAAACATCAGGAAGAGTTTTGCCACAAGCTGCACCACCTTCAGACACCTTCACATTTCAAATGTTTGGTTGGTCTTAGACCATGGTCCATGTACACACGGTGGCAGAACAATCTCCCCCTGGTTAAAAAGTTTAGAAGGCCAAAAACCATTTGATTTGCCAGCTCCCTGCCCCTCCCCCGAATCTAGGAATGGCCAGGTGACCCAGTTTTGCTCTGAGATATAAGTGGAAATTTCCTAGCTGAATTTTTAGAACTCATTATTTCCTTCTTGCAGGGGGCAGACCTAGCTGGCTCCATTTTCCTCTTCCTTTTCCCTTGAATGAGACTATGACTCCTGGTAACCTCCCTTTTATCATCACGAGGAACCATCAAGGGCTGACTTTCACACTACTAAATCAATCAAGAAAGGAGTTGTCTGAGCCATAGTCCCTAACATCTAGTTACCTAAGAAGAAGCTGCTCACTTCTCGTCAAAGAAGTTCCTTCCTGCAGCCTTCAGTTATAGGAAGTCATACTGAGCAAACGGCAATGGGTGCCCAGCCTCAGTTCATATAATTGCAACACAATCCCTACATCCAGATTCGAAGGAATGTCTTGGAAGAGGGGTTGGGAAGATTATAAGAATGAGTGGGCCAGTGTCTTTTATATATGAGAGGGGTACTGTATTACTTAAATATCAACAATATGGTCATCTAAACAAGAGCTGAATGTGAACAGGTGGGATCTCAGAAGACCCTGTCCCTAGATGAAGAACTACAGACAATTAATCACTGTTGAGAGGACAACCAGTCTTTTCCAGGGATGAGCTCCTCAGGAGGTTACTGAACCCCTTGTGGTTGGCCCTGAATACATATAAATGGGTGGTAGACACTGAACTCAGGTCCTAATGTCTGCCATGCCAGCACTCTATGGACTGAATCATTTCTCCAGCCCCAATGCTAATGAATCTGAATGTAGCTATCAACCCTTGGCTAGTGGCACTTGTGCATGAGAAAGCCCTGGTCCTGAGAGAGCCCCCTCTCCTTGCATATCTGTGCTGGTGTACACTCATAGCAGTAGGAACAAGAGTTGGATGGGAAAAAGCCAAAAGTCACAGTCAGTTGGTAACAGCAGTAATATGGAGAATATACACTAACCACTTCCATGGACCGGGCATCATACACAAACTCTACCTTCTATCATCCAAGGCGTCTGTAGCATTTGCCGTATCTTACTGAAAGGCTGTGTCACTGAGAGGTTAAACAATTTCCCCAGAGCCACATAGCTCAAAGCCTGTGCCTGTGTACTTTAAAGGGCCGTGTTACCATACAGAGCAGCAAGGGAGGCAACACATGGCTTACTGGTGTGCGCGTGCGTGCGTGCGTGCGTGCGTGCGTGCGTGCGTGTGTGTGTGTGAAATATCAGCTCCTTGCCTCCCTTTATTTGTGGCTTATTGAATTTTGAGTAGATTAGTTTGGATAATGAAATGCTTTTTAAAATCTAATTTGAAATCCATGAAGATAAGGTAGGTGGAAATGCTCCCAGTGCTCTGCCCATGTCACCCCCGAGAGGCTGGAAATCCACAGCACAGAGGACATGAGGGACACCATGTCCTCGTCCTGCTTGGGGCAATTCTCTCATGAGACAATTCCCTTGTTTCCAGTTCCCGTCAACAATCCTCCATTTTTCATGCCAATGCTTAGCTTAAGCTGGAAGGCTATCCCCTCGAGCCTGTTTCAGCTCTGAAGTCATTTGAAGGGTGTAAGACTTGTGAGCTTCGGGCCAGGAGTAGCTTCATGCAGCTGAGGACAGGGCGATCCACATAAAATAACAAACTGACTTTAAAATTGGGAGGGTTTTTCTTTGCAGTTGTTTTTGGAATTCAACGGCATGGGTCTCAGTCATTAAATGTTGATCACAATGTCATGATGAGATGTTAGAATGTTGGACAGCTGGGCAGGTGGTTCAGTCAGTAAAGTGCTCGCTATGCAAGTGTGGGGACCTGAATTTGGGTCCCCAGCACTCGTGTGAACGAACACCTGGGTATATATGCCTGAGCACTTGTCATTGAAGTGCTGGGGCTCTGGTATGGTGGGGTTGGGAGGGAGACAGGCAGGTCCTTGGGGTTCATTGGCCAGTGAGGTCATTGAGCTTGTGTTCAGTCAGAGACTCTGTCTCAAAAAGAAGGTGGTTAAGTGGTCAAGGAAGACCCCTGATGTCAATGCCTGGCCTCCATATACACATACATACATACTTATGTAACAATGCATATATATATATATATATATATATATATATAAAAG